ATATTGGTAAAAGATCGAGCAGTTACAATTACGTTAAAGCTTAATTTCAATCTCAATATCAACCTGACAAATTAGATCAGTGTCAGTAGTCAATCTGTACCATTTGTCTTGTTTAGATGCTTCGTAAATAAAAAAAAAAAAAAAAAACGTTGTAATTAATCTTAAATTGTTGTCCTTAATTGTTGCAAAGTTTGGCGACTTTATATGAAAAGGGACATTGACCCTATAGAACAAACATAAAGTCACTTCGCCTGAAGGGTCGTCTGCAGATACGATACAGATACATCTGTGTGCGCCTGAATTGCACTTTTTGGCATGCGTAATGCATAGATAATAACGACATTAAAGGTGGTCTAAACTGAAAGGATAAGTAAATATATTTTTTTAGAGAGTTGTCCGTAAACTTGGTCATAGAAAAATTAAAATTATGTTGTTTATATAGAGATCGTTGAACAGCTAATATTGTTGAAATATTGTAAATGCAATAACAAAAGTCGGCGTCTCTTGATGCTATAAAGACAAATTCGGTTTAAGTTTGAAATTTGTAGAGTTGTGTGAAGTATACTTGCTATTATAAAAGGACAAAAACCGGCAGGAAGGGATTTATTTTTCATACATACTTAAACCTAAAAGTGTTACTACAAGATTTAAAGATCTACCAGAGATATTTAAATGTCAGCTTTACATTTTAAAGTGTTGGGATTTTCGACAGTGGCTTGGGATTTAACCTTTGATCCTCATTTCCTGTAACATAAAATTGGCCAACCTTCAGAGCACTACAGTTCCATCTTTTCAAATTTCTCACAGATTTTTTGAGTCATATGCCTAGCTTACAAAGGCATCCCGAATTTAGCAAGCAAATTGTCTTAAACTCGTTTTCCATTCCCAATCCGAAGCAAAAACAGTACCAGTGTCTATTTACGCTACTTGAAGTCCGGTTTTCTAATCATGGTAGTGGATACAAGAATTACTCACATTTGCTACCTTTTAATACGAACAAAACAAGCAGTAGAGATAATATTACCGTTTACGATTGTGAGGATTGAAAAACGATATAATGTGTAATAGTACAAATCGACCCCCACCGGACAGAGATTGCGGAACATGTTATTCCTATGCATCTGTATATTGCATAGAACTATGCATCAACATGTGTACGCATATGCACATCAAGCAGGTGTATTCACGCGGTTAATAAAGCAATGCAAATATTATACATGTGTATGATATGGCGGTAACAGCCTCAAAGACGACTTTAACGACTGCGAATACTTTTTAAGTGGAAAACTTATTTTCATGTTTAGAAGTAACAATGTATTTGAGAAACTACTATAAAACAAATATTTACTATTAGCCAAAAATTGTTAGTAATAAGTGTAGATTTAAGAAGAAACTGAATGCCTTAAAAGTGAGCGTCGTTATTCGTCTTCTACCGTGTACAACGTACGTCCTACAATTTGAAAGCACACAGCAACCATGACAAACAACAAAGCGAGTTGCTATCTCTGCTACTGCTTTTTAAGTTATTTATGTCGCTGAGAGACAGCGAGCGTGGTTCGGTTCAAATCAGACGGTACCACTCCGTGGAAAACAACATTTCAGTTATGGTAACCAAGCAATTAGAAATAAATTTACACTGATGACTCAATTCAGACTTATTGAAGCCCGCCGAAACCTGATTGAGCATGGAACCTATATCGTTGGCTTCACTTCCCTCTGTCAAGTTCATGATGCAAAGGAAAAAATAAGTTGTCTTAGATGATTTTCCTATGCGCATCTGTCCTATGCTAGGAAATACAACTATGATTTGTGACCACCGGAAAATGCCGTGTGGCCTCTTCTGTGGTTTTCGACGTTTTTTTCATTTTTAGCCCCAAAGAACAAAGCTATTTTTTCATTGATCATTTCAAGAAATGCATAAGATTTTTAGGCAACTTCGGTGAATCTTGCTGTACGGCTTCAGTGGAGTTGTTGGTCCTCATTTGGGACTCTAATATCATGTCGACCGTACGCCGTTTCTCCAGTTCGTCCTCACGAATTCTTCTGTTATGATATCTTTCTTTTGATATCCCTTGGTTAAAAACCTGTTTTGATTAGTAGGCAATTTTGATATCACATTAATTTTCGCATCGTTGTCGCTAAGTAGGGTAGGTTGAATTTTTTCCTTATCTGCACCCGACCGCACAGTTTTATCAAGTACTATCCTCGCTTGCATCTGCATCATTTTTTAATTTTTATTTTAATCTGCGCGGGCTGGCATTTGTAGTGTGTTTAATGTTCTTTGAACGAGCTAGCTTCTTATAAATTTTGTAAATATACTCAATAATGTGCGCATCATTGGCGCTTCGAAGCAATAAACGCAACTGTGTCCCATCTTTGCGCCCTTTCGATCCTTATCTGGGCAAGTAGGCCCCATTAGTTTGTCAGGCATCGTATTTGACAAATTTTGTGTACTACGATCGCCCCTTTTTCCAATATTGTCTTTGGTGGTCAAGTATTTAGTGTTCCCGTAACCCATGTTCCCACGAGCCAATGTAGTACTATTGGAAAACGTTTCAGAATAATCTGCCTTTGCTATTTTATCTGAATTTTTTTTTATCTGAAAAAGCAATTTTTCTCCGAACGCAACGTAATTTAGCGCACTGCTTTTTAGGTTCGTCTCATAACGAATTACACGCTATGCGATCTAGTTCGTTGCTAGATAATTATCTCTGCAGTATTTGCCAATAGTACTGTGCATGCATACACGTGACTCTAAAATAGTTGTTCAATTCGTGTATCAAACGAGCATAACGAACAGCTGAGCCTAAACGATACTGGATGATCGCAGGAAACATTGCCGTAAATATAGGCTAACGCGCTTTTAACAACTGCTTCCTGCGAATGATCCATTACTTATGACATTCTGGTGGGTGTCCTGGTCGGTATGGGCGTAACTGAGAGGACGGCTAGGCGTGACTCGTTTTTTAGAAAAAAAAAAAACATTTTTTGTGCGCTCTGCTTCACAGCAATATACTTTTACCACTTAAAATCGCCTCACCGCGTACCTACCAATAGAGCTGACCATTTTGTGAACGTCTATGGAGCACTTGGCATGTGGATGCTCAATTACAGTTGATTTCGAATAGTTAGCAAAACTGCATTCCCAGCTAAGTCTGCTTCGAGCCACCAGAGGGTCGACAACACAGAGCTAGGGTAATGGCCACTTTTAAAGTGCAGAAGGTGCGAAATTTTCACAGTTGAATTTAGCTGAATCAACGACCGACGCAATAGAAGTGCATGCTAACTATAATCGAATCGTCTGCGCAGGTTTTAACTAGACTGTGAAACATCAGCAGTCCCTTTTAGCCTGAGTACGGCAACAGAGATGGCCTTCACAATATAACCGTGCATATTTTTAAACTTATTTTTTAGAAAGGAATAAGTAGGAATGGTCATAAGTGCCTACCTCGTATTCCAAATATTAATACATGAAGTAGTTGACATTTGTAAGCTTTCAAGTTACAATATTTACGGCATCTATATGGTGTTCCGACAGTGGCACAGTCATCTATATCGGCAAATATACGGATTTTTGCTATCACGTACCGTAAGATCAACAAGCTTTAGATGATGTAGCCAGTCCTGAACTTAGTTTCCTACTGCGTTCTAGACGTTACAATTGGGCTGAGTTTATATTAAGTAATGCTGATACCGTAGCTTCTAAATTTCTCTATAAATCTGAACTTAGGTTCCTCATATGAGGACACCTTTAAATGCGGTGTAAGTAAAGCTTAATTATCTCTCCGTTACACTAGAAGGGTTGTAATACGTACTATAAGGTGTTCTGATCTGGCAGCATACCATCACATTTCATCAATGTTCAAAACTACGCGCACTGCACAACGGAAAAACAATACTGGCGTCAGAAATGGTTCTAACTGAGACAGGGTATAGCATATTCTCATGGCGCGACTTACATTATACAGCAGTATAGTATTTATATTAATATGAAGACTATGCGGGCTTCTGAAATATTGCAAAAGTGGTCTTTGGTGCCATAAATGTAACCTATTTGGCAGCGATTTTATTGAACATTATTCTATGAATATTATTTATATTTTTTTGTGGCAAACAGAAAGAAAAGTGTATATCTTAATAAACTTTGTCCTTTACAGACAGGGACACTTCGTATAGTCCGGGCAACTTAATTCTAGTTTAATGATCCTGTGATTCCCGTAACAATATCCACTTCACAAACAACTGTGAGATTACGGGATATTGAGTAAACAAACGTACGTACAGTGATGCTACAACAACGTATCTCTTTATTGTCAAGGAAATTAAGACCTCCAAAATTGAATTTTGGCGGGCCGCGCGCGGTGAACCCTTACCATTAACAGCCACCAATATTTCCTGTTCGTGAGATAGGTTCTGCCGGAGCTGGTTCAATGTGGAAACTGGAGTAAACGCATGGAGTCTACTGGACTGACAACGGTACGTCTGCTGTGTACGATGGCTACCGTCTGCTGTTGTTCGGTGTGAGTCTGAACGCATGTGTGTCCCTGGATGCCTAGGTTTATGTTGCGAGTGGGTGTGCTTGTGTGTATATGGGCATTCGTTTCACCAACCCTTTCCCAATGTTTACTCACATCGGTTAGGCTTAGGATTGCCGCACTAACTCGGTGCTGCCGTTCAGGGAGTATCGGTCGGTTCTCTCATAGAGGCGCCGTGGTTGTCGTCTGTGTCTCACTGGGTGTCTCTATATTATTGTTATTATTACCCTTACAGCAACAATTATCTACAAACACAGACACACACACACATACGCATATATATACATGTATCTCCTTTAAGTGTGTGTCTTGTTGTTGAATTTTTGGTGGTGAAAAAATCTCGCTGGATTGTGTTGATTTCTTGCATTCGCCTAAACGATCGTTCGTCTACTGAGTGGATTTGTCTTACATTGACGAAGAGTGGTGTACGTGTCTTGAGACGTCAGCTTGTGCAGGGTGGGGAAAACAAGTACCAATCTTGTCTTGCTGTTGCTGCCAGTTGATCGTTGGTTTTTTCATTGTTGAATACTACCCATATATATCCATATATTTGTATGGCGCCTCGAGAACTAAATGTGCTCAAATTCTGCCCCACAGCTTTGTCATGATCCTCATTACTGGGCAGCTATCATTCATATGCTTGGTATTCTCTCAGCGTTAATGGATGCCTATTTGACTTCCGCCGAATGATTGTCATTATATGTGCTGTTCATTAAAGATGATCTTTTTTTCCGCGTCGCTAGCCTTATTCATATATTTAACTGACATGAGTTAAAGCTTACGTTGCAGCAGCAATATTATGAAGCCTCTTGTCAGTGTTGTCTATCACCTAGAAGGGTGAGGTCAGTGTCTTCGAGTTTGTTCGTAGCAACATGTGGTACTGGGGCGGCGTCTTCTTGAGTCAAGTCTAAAAGGTATTTCCGATACGAAACGAGTAAACCAGCCCATCGTTATACCAGTTCTCGATGTAAACCAGCTTTACGATGTGTACATTGTTGTTACTGATGAGGACCGTACACCGAATCGTTGTAGTTAAATGACTGCCGCGTACGATGCGGCGAACGTGTGCTATAAGATCACCAGGCAGATTTTCAACGAAACGTGACAATAACAAGCGTCAGATTATTATACTCCAATATGCATATGTACAGCGCAGTTGACTAGTGCAGATAAATCTCAGTATCAGCAGAATGGCAGATTCAGGCTGACGAAGTAGTTTAATAAGGCGTTGCTTAGCAACAATAACAGTCATTCGATGTTTTATTCTCATCCGTATTGGCAGGTTTCCTGTGGCTATGGAGTCGAAGCGTGAGGAGTTCCGCAAATATTTGGAAAAGGGAGGAGCATTACAGGCTCTCAACTATGGTGAGTACCGAATATTAAAGGCATTAGATATTCAGAAGGTATATTATTGCGATTTTTTATACCGAATACTCTGATCATTGAGTATTTGTACAGTGAGCATATCGTGGTCTGCGTCTCGCTGTGGGAATAATGGCAGGATAATTAATCTATGATCAAAAAATATTGTCGATGCAGTTAGTTATTGGTACCTTAGATTTAGAAAGACACCAATCTGTTTTATGTATTTCTGTTATTTGTGTGGCAGTTTCTAAAAATAAGAACTGGCTTTGGGTGCTGCCCTACCTTATTTTTTATTATATTATTTGCCAGCCTATAAGCGTAACACCACACATTCATTCTTTTGTTTTTGTCATGGAAACTCAAAATTAAATTATGTGCCTCATGCGCCGCGACAAAGCTGTATTATAAATTTTTGGCTGAAAAAAGTAATTTTATATGTCATGCATACGTCCACCGGGAGGCCACACATAGGCCAAGTTGAAGGTTATTGTAGCTGAACCCATGTCTTTTTCTATGGTGCAAATTGCCAACCGTATTCTTCAGAAGTCAAACAGATTGACAGAAATAACTTTCGACCGCCTGTGTACTTCGTGGAATTTGACTGGCAAGTCCAAGTAAGTAGAACAGAATAGAACGAAGGATTAAAAAAAGTCTAGGTTGACCAGTGATTTCAGACCAGTGGTCAGAAGATGATTGCCCAGCGTTGTTTTCGGTAGCGCAAGTATGGGCGTGATGGGTCTTCAGAAGAAAAAATGTCGATCATGCTTAGTAGGAGGACAGCAGATCAAGGGCAGACATGTCCATCAGACACGATGTAACTCTTTATCTGAAATGACTCCCTCTCCATTTGTATGCCGAAATTATTTCTGAGAGCATAGTCGTAACTTTGACGTTATAGATGATTCGGAAAGGCAAGGTGATATATAATATTTGGTTATTATATTGTTTGTTGACCCGCGGAGTTGCGTTGCGGTCGTCAAATGGGTAATGATCGACATTAAATGAACCTATGGGGTAATGGGAGCTTAAAAACTTTGTGATGGAGTCGTTAACCGTAGAGGTGGACGATGTGAGCAGTCTCCATACAGACATGGTGATGAGCCACATTGTGGTATTTCAACTGAGTCAAGGAAAAGCGTTGGGAGGGGTAAGGTCTAACAAATCTCATACTACTCTCATTTGACAGTGGTGTTATAATGTTATAAAGTTGGAAAGAAAAATGAGATTAAAATTGTCGTATGGTGCCATATATTACATATGCAGCTTAAACACACCGGATACAAATGATGACTATTCTTAGACTAGTATCGGGTGTAAATCGGCTTCGGTTAAAACATGTATTCATTTTAAATGGTATTGCCAATAAACGCTCACAAACTGCATAATTATAAAGCGGGCGTTTTTCTTTGTACTACAGACTGAATATTATCAAAATCGCAGTCAAGACACATAATTTGATTTCCCCTTTATAGGTTGAGATGCAAAGGTACACAAGCTGTCTTTGCTTACATGGAATATTTCTCTCTCCACTCTATAAACGGCGATGCAAATATGCGATATAGGCAACTGTATATGGTAGGCCATTAGAACCGTTTGACCGCACTACGACTATAATCCACTGTTCTGCAAATAAGCCAGCGTTGTACCAACAGTGTTTAATTAAAGTTAAGATCATTATTGTAAATTAATCTATTTGAGGATTGTTTTTACGTTTAGTGTGACGTCTTATATTGCTGCTTGTACTGGGGCATGCTATTTTCACCATAAACACTCTTGAGCCCTTTTTAGATAGTGTTTTAGCGATCCTTTAGAGGCTAGAAAGGCTTTGATACACACTATGAGTTCCTCCATTGCACTGATGTCCTTTATGTCTGTCTACCTTACACCGATATTGGTCATTAAGTAGTTTGAGTGCTTTTCGTGTGCTACAGCCCTTTCAACGAAATACTTTTTTGTTTTTCTCTCTTTTTTTGTTCTCTGTGATACTCTATAAAGTCTCAATGGGTCATAGAAATATACCATTTAAATGAGCCAAGAAAATGTAAAATAAATACATTTGATCAGAGAAAATAGCTTTGGTCCGTGTGTTTGTAATGTTACTTGAACGCTAGAAAACAGTGAAGTGGTGCACGTTTTTTTTTTGACTATGGTTTCTTTGTTGCTCCTCTATTTTTGTATTTGCGTTGTCTGATTCAGTTGACGATTTGTATACGCACAGGCCGTTCAGTGCCTATCGGAAATAGTGATAGAACCAATACTGGAAGCTATCGTATGATAATTAATTGACACAAAACTAAATTTTCTTAAGAAAGTAACACGCCTTTTTGTGCGGTTCAAGCGACGTAGAACCTGCTACGAAACAGGGCTACCAGAGCAATGCTTGTGATAGCCAGCTTCATCACGGATGAGCTTAATAATTAATTTATGTGTTGACGCTTTTGATAAGTGAATTGTTAAGTGTTATAATAACTAATGTTCAACTACATTCCACGGATGCATTAGAAACTTCTTTAAGAATAAAGAAATTGAATAGAACATAATCACTAAAATTATCAATGCTTAACCAGAATATCCCAACTAATGAGCCGAAAATATAGATTACAATTGTATAATTTTCTTGTAATTGTAACGTGGCTGTAGATGACTTACTGATTCCTTTATGGAGGAGCCTTTGTTTGTAGTTCTGGTAAGCGTTTAGAGAAGTAGGCAACAAAAAAATTAGTATAACACTCTAAGTAATTAATCAAAAGGATTCGTCGTACGTAGACGCTGTTGTGAACCGTGACACTTTAGTTTGTCAGTGTCTAATTTAATCGATAAGTTGTGTATGTATAGATATATGCAATCTTCGTATGCGTACAGAGTGCCATACTTTTTTAAACACCAACCTACCAATTAGGGGTGATATCACCGCTTCTGTATTCCATTAATGTATTCTTTCTAAACATTCCATGAATGAATAAATAAACGATCGACGACGACAACCTACCCTTGTCCGACTCTTCTATTCTGACAAAACGAATGATTCACATTTGTGCTGAATTGGAATCAGATATTAGTGACGCTAATCGCTATAGGACAGGGGTGGCTCATGGCACTTTCCACTACCTTCTTCCACCTGTCTACTCGTCGAATCTCTCTTTGTGAACGTCTAGCAGAGTGTCGGAATCAGTGTGTCTACACTTATTAACTCTCCACTTTAAATGAATATGTCATACTATAAACGGTTTCATTCATGAAAGAGCTTTACCAGGAGACGCCCTTAACACAGTGCTGATATCCCCGGCGACTCAATGCGACGAAAAAGGAAAGATACAATTAAAAAATTAAAATTAAAAGATTACAATTGTACGAGCAATATTGTTAATAGTTTTACTGAACGTCAAGGAATGACTGTCGTAGACTACGTATAGTTAGCGGTTAATGGTCGGATAAGGGTTGTGTGGTGACTAACTACGGTTACTCAGACTGCAATACTAATGGCGTGTCGAGCGCTCGATCGGAAATCCGCCGGACCAACCATAATGCTATGAGGGTAGGTAGACGTAGAAAAGCACAGGCAGGGCTAAGGACATATTTACCGGCACTATCGTACTTTCCGGATAACGCCAATGCCACCGCCAATAACAACAGTATCGTGGTCACCTTCTGGAAAGAATGATCAGTGGTGATAATAACAACGAATAACGAATGGGAAGCAGAGAATCTTCATAATGGAAAGCGAGTAAAATCGCCAATCGGTAGGAGGATGGAGTGAAGAACCGTTCTGACTGACGCATTGGTTCGCGCTTATTCGGTATATTTATTCAGTACTTTGTAAAGTACAAATATATATATATTAGTGCGTCGATTTATGTTTTTTTTAGTGCTAAAAAAAAAATTCTAATATGGCATCGTTTGGATGTAATTCGGAACCCATCAGCGGGGCTGTTTTTTTTTAAATACTTTTTATCGAGCCACTTTTAAATCGATTCGATTGTAATTAAATGGGTTTCTTGTCTACCGTGCAAACTTTGAACCTGTTGTAATCTCAGTCTTATATATAACCGATCATCGGCAGTGCAACTTGTTTAATGTATATGTAAGCAATTTGAAATGATAACAAAATGATCGAGTTAACGCCCCAGCAAGCACTAAAACTTGCCAATTTATAGTCAGTCCTTTGTTACACATATTGTTCAATATATGATTCCTGTCATCGTATTGTGCTTAATGGATAGCATTTAACTCTTGTTGTAAGTATGTAGAACTACCCATTCAGCAGCGATTTCTCACATTAATTTATTTGGAATACAAAACAGCATTGTTAATTGCTATGCAGCTCAAAACCCCGCAATTATTAGAAAAGGTAATTTTGGTGTGGATCATTGTTTTTTGTCTTTTTTTGAAAAATTAAATCATTCCATAAATACATAGAATATTTGCATATACAGCTTTGAAGGAATATAAAGAGTAAAAGGTATACGGGAGTTGAGAAGGAGCATAATATTATTACGATGAAAGGCAATTATACTCATAAAAAAGAAAGGTTGACTTCATTAATTTACTTCTTGAGTCAGTTTACTGACTTGCGAGCCTAATATGAATGAGCAATTGCAAAATGCATTTTTGAGTGGTTTGCTCTTTTCGTTCATGGATTGCAACGAGGCTCATCGTGAGGAAAACTTCCCACCAGACGTGTATTCGTTAATTGATTACCTGCGTTAAGATAAGGTTTGCCAATAAAATTTATATTTGTTTCGTCAATTCTTACGACACATGGGTACAGAGTTTTTATCTATCCAAGAACATACGTTCTATTGAAAAATACAGAGGTACACCACAAACATTTAGATCTACATCCCTTGAAATAACACAGGACCTAGATAATTCCGTCAGAGTAATTAGTTTAGAGACTTAGTAAATATCGCAGTTCTAGACAGCAGCCGTCAACCTCAATTTTAAGTTCAGCGCGATGGTTAGAATTCTTAGTTAATCGCGAAATTGTTTTACGTTATTTG